TTTTTTTTTTTTTTTTTTTTTTTTTTTTTTTTTTTTTTTTTTTTTTTTTTTTTTTTTTTTTTTTTTTTTTTTTTAAGTATAAAATTTTACATTTTAAATTAACTTTTTATGATTGAATTAGTAGATGATTGAAAGTTTGTTTTTGACCTTTCAATGAAGTTTCTTTTTAATATCGGATTGCATTGTTTTAAATGTTATTATTTTCATTAATAATAAATGCTGAGGAGTTATTTTATCTTTTGCGATAAATAGGATAAATAGTTGTAAATATAGTATTTTATAAAAAATAGTCTTCACACATTCATAAAAAATTCACGACAAAACAAATCAAATTCAATTATCTCTCGAAATTGAAAAATGAGTAAAGACAATTTTATACAATAAATTTCTTTATTTGTTTGGGAGTAAGTAAAAAGAACATCAAAATATTGGGTGAACAAGTACGTAGAGACATACCTACGACATGAATAAATCCAGTTCATTTTTGGCTTTACCGTATGTATGCACTGTTAATTTCAATAAATTGCGAATTTTACGTTCTAATTGTGCAAATTTACAATAACTTTATAAACTAAAAATATGTAACTTCAAATGAATGTTTATTTATTAAGGTGCAACATAAATATTCTATAAAATATATACCATGGTTTTGAACAAAAAATAAATTCAATGATGTTTGTGCTATATCGATATAGGTTTTATTTTCTCATTGAAAATGAGGCGCGATATTACTGATATTACTGTAAATGCGTCCTTACCCTAATGATTGTTCAATGATTTATTTATGTATAATAATTTTCATACTGAAAGATATGAATTATTCTATGCACAACTTGTATATATCCCAGGAATTCAACCAGTAAAACATGCGCATGTATATTAAAAAAAAAAATACAGTACGGTTATACATGTATTATTCAATGTACAGTAAATATTCGACAAGTAAAAGAATGGGGATCAAAAACTCATTCTTGTGGCTGAATAACAGTGTATTTCGTACCCTTTCCGACCTACGAAATAATTCGGGTGAAAGATTGACAAATATGTAACTTGAAAGGTGTAATTAAAAACTATAGCGATAGCAGGATATTATTCATTTCTTTGAACTATGATTATTTTTTTACACGTATTGGTGTGTTCTTTACCTGATAATTGTATTGCACTGTATGTGGAAGAAATATATAAGGTTCACAAAAATTTGTAATATAGAGATGCGTCATGAAGTGCCAAGAAGATGAACCCTCAAAAAATTAAAATCTGTATGCTTAAAAAAAAAAATAAAAATAAAAAAAAACAAACAAATTCCTTATTAGTCATTTTTAATTTCGTTACATCGCCCAGATCAATTGCTACATGGTGATGAAATTTTTTTTTTTTTGTATTTTGTTTTCATAATTATAAGAGCTTAAATTCAGGTAACTACCCTCCTGAACCATTAGTCATTTAGGACTTATTGTTCCCTAAAAAAATTTTTTGCGCCCTGATGAAAAAAAAAAAGGACCAACATATCTAGCCCTATTAAGAAAGATGTACATTTGTTTAACATTGATTTACATAATTGATGAATCACATTGCGCGTACGGGTATCGGTATTGCCAAAAGTTAAAATAATTCGCATATATATATAATAGGGAACCTATTTCATGTTTCAATCTTAAATAACATACCTCAAATTTTATTCTAATTTTTTTTTTTAGCTATTTAGTTAATTGTTAATTGCTCTTTTATGTAAAAATAAAAATGGCATTAAATAAGTCATTAAAAACTGGACATTTATACTCTGGGAGTGATGATGATAATTCAATTAATGATAATATGGATATTGATGAGATTCCTTCGTCAAAGACAACAATTAAAGAATCTAAAATAAAGTTTAAGGCGGTAAGACTTGGGATATGAATATTACAAAAATATTTAGAAATGTCTATACATCATCTAATGGTTATCGGAAATTCAAAAATTTTCAAATATTATTATAAAAAAATTAACTTTGTATCACCAAAATTTATAGATAAGTCAGGCTCTTCGCAAAGTTGTTGATAATGATGTTAAACAAGCAGAAAAATCTTTTAAGGCTCTTTGTGATGTAATGCCTCCACAATTACGTTTAATTATGAATGGTTCTTCTATTAAAGAAGTATTCGGTAATGTCAATATGGAATTCCAACTTACTAAAGATCATAAAGAACAAATGATGATGAATGAATCCTATACTTTTGTTTCTCCTCCTTCAACTATTACAAACAAAGATATAAATTATACCCGAGAATCGGATGTTTTATTGCAAAATAATGTAAATCAGTTAAATCATCTGGATAACAATAATCAAGTTCACATTGATGATGTAATAATTGACGATCAAGTACTCGCTTCTCATCTTAATGAACGTACTCAATCTGAGCAAGACAAAACTATAGAATTAACAAATAACGAAAACTCTTCTACTACTACAATCTCTTCAAGCAAACGAAAATCCACTCAACCTAGGAAATTCATCATTGAACATCATGAAACTGAGAGCAGGATAATTCGCAATAGAGCTCGTCCTTATACTAAAAAGAGAAAAGATGTCGTCTCTAGCGATGAATCTGATAATATGCAAGCTGAAGCTTTCATATATTCGGTTGATAATCGAAATCAAACTAATCATCATAATACTGATGAGTCTTCAGATGATGATTCAATTACTTCTTGTAAACCTATAAAATTGGCTGTTCCTTCTTCGATACCTGAAAATCAAGATTCTCGTAAACAGAAAGTACGTTCTTCAACTAGAAAAATTGCAAAACCAATCGTCCAAAAAGGAAAAAATTCTATCGACCCTTCTATAAATTCTGATAAAACCAATACATCACAAGGTAGTCTAAATAAAACAACGATGAAAGCAGCAAGAAAATTTGCTGCTCCTGTACCTAAACCTATTCCGGAAAAACCACAACGACCTTTAGGTTCTTTTGGATATTTCCGTAAAGAGATGTTCGATAATCGGGATTCCCTCTTAGTTGGTCTTCCATGGAGAGAATGTATAAAAATCGTAGCACAACGTTGGAACTCATTAAGTGAAGAGGATAAACAGGTGCATTAATTTATTCCAAATTATTTGTCAAAATTATTTGCCAAGGTTACTTATTGGTTTATTATCAAAATTATAATAAGCCTTATTGTGAACTTCAACGGATTGCAAGTAAAAAATTTAAAGTAGAGAACCGTGTATACCTTGACTATTTAAAGGAGCATGGGCTAGCGGAAGATAAGAAGAGTAAAGAACCCGAAAAAATTACTAGAAAACCTACTTATGAAAGCAGAAAGAAGAATACCATAGGTGGTTCTGAAGAAAGGAAGCCACGCAAAGTTAAAACTAATTCTTTGAAAAAACCATCGACAGTCTCAGAATCAAAAACTTCCGTGAATAAAAAAATAAATACTATTCGAGCTGGTGCTACTCGTAAGGCCGGTGTGACTAAAATCTTTATCCCTTTTGTCCATAAAGACTAAATATGATTGTGAGAAAACAAATAATCGGACAATGCTTCAATAAATCTCCTGAAGAAATATGACTCAATCAGTTTATTAAACTGATATATTGATACTTCAAGTGAAATATCTACGTAAGTCAAAAGTACATAAATAATTTCGTAAAAAACATTATTATTTTAGTTGGTAATGTGTAAAAAGGATGTGACAATAAAATAAGGATTACCATGAGAACTATATTTTAGTTCTGCCAAATTAGATTATATCTTTCTATATAGTTGGATTTAATACATATTTTTAGAAAAACTCAACAAATTTGATGATTTATTTTTTGAAATTACATTAAACCAATATATTGGTGGATATACTCGGACATTTATTTATTTATTTATTTATTATTATTATTATCATTATTATTATTTTTTGAGAATTGTATATAGATGGTGTGTCATAAAAAATTTTAAAACTTTTAAATATTACAATTGTTAATATTTTTTGTTTAAAAAAATAGAACGTATTTCTAACCATGTAAATAATATATTCTAAGCTATATAAAATTTAGTTGAGATTCCTTATTTTTTTTATTTTTATTGTTATAGAATTACAGTTGTAATATTAATAAGATGAAAAAATTAATACATTAATTACATACTAAAGTCTCGAAAAATAAAGGATAATTCAATACAAACGAAAAATTCAATTTAAAGAATATTTCAATTAATAAAATTATCTTATGCAGTCATTTTTTATAGACTACTATATATAAAATTAAAATTTTTTAAAATTTTCTGGGATTTTGTAACTTCCAGTGGCAACATTGGTGACTATATGGAAGGAGATCTCGTTAGATAATAAAATTTTATTTCATTAATTTCGATACTTAAATTATAGCGATAGTAACAGTTAACTGTTTTTATTTTATTAACTATGTATTACAATTTTAAATTAATCCTTAATTCGAATTTAACTTATTTATTTTATTATCAAAGTTTGAATCTGTTGAGAATTGGAAATTTTAAACCGTGTTGGCAATTTTCTCGGCCAAAAAAAATATTTGGTCGGCAAAGCAATTAGTAATTTGACCATTTTAATAGTCTGTTTTTGGCTGAAAAATAACAGCCAATGGCCAAATAATTTTCTTTGGCTGAAGAAATTACCATCACTGGATTAGCTACCATTTCATTAGATTGAAAAATTGGTTTGATCTTTAATGGTTCTACCACAAATATTTCGAAAATCAGATTCTCGAAAATTAATTGTCACTCTACGATGTTTACTAATCATCGCGGACTTTGAATATTGCATCTCGTAAAGTGGCAATGAATTTTCGGAAATCTGTTAAAATAAAGAAAAGCAAGAAGTTATAAAAAAAGTATGAAGGCTGCATAAGTAATAAAAAAAAGGTATAAGAAATGAAGAGCCTAGCAATCTAAGAGAAAAGTTCTAGAAACGATTCCAAAAAACTATATAAACAAAGAACAATGATAATAGACTTCTTACTGAAAATGATAACAAAAGTGAAAGTAAAGAACAACAAGAATAGAGTTTTGCAGTGCCAAAAGTAATAAACAGATATGAGTTAGAAATAATAGAGGTGTAGAATTTAGCAAAGAGGTAGTATCAATACTAAAAGAAAAGTTACAAGAATTAGTAACAAGAGGAGAAAAAGAGATAGTGTTTATACTGATAAATCACTAAACAAAAGAAAGATAAACGAAACATAAGTATTAGATAGATAGATAAATAGAAAATAGCATAGTTAGTATAGAAAATTTGAGAGTTGTTAATTAGCTAATATCAATAAGAGTAGAGTTAATAGATATTTGATTAGTATTACTAATATTGTAATATAATATAATAGGATTCTTACAGATATTAAAATAAGCAATTGAAGATACAACAAGAGTTTGTAATATTAAATTAAATTACTTAAAAATAATTTAGCAAGTCTAATTATTTAAAACAATCTAAGTTTAGAGTTAGAAATAATATCTAATAAAGGAAACTAGATTGTCAAAACAATTAGGATACCAATTAAAAGCTTAATAAAAAAGAAAACCTTTATTAAATTAGCAAAAATATTTTATAATCTCAATATAATAATACTAGAACAAATTCTAGTTATTAAAGAATCTTACTTATTAATGTGACAACAGTTAAAGATATCTAGAAAAAAATCAAAAAAAAGTAAAAAAACAATAAGATATGAAGAAATAGAAGATAAAGTATTAATCAGTAAGAATAAAAGAGAAGTCAAAGAAGAATATAAGATAGGTATTAAAAATTATTTTAGAATGCAAGATCTGCTCAAAAAATTTTAGATGACAAAAGAAAATAAAAATAAATTATTTACAAAGATAGTTATAGTAAAACAAAAAGATAGAAAAAGTACAAAAGAAGAAAAATAGATAACTCTTCTTAATAATTATTTAAACCAAATTTTCCAAAAAGCTGAACTACAGAAAAACAATATAATTAATATATTAAACTTTATAAAAACCTTTCTGAAGTACTATATATACATAGTTGAATATTGAAATAGAGTTGAAAAAGAGGTTATAGCTTTGTAGTGATAGTTTAAAGCATTCTAAAACTATAGAAAAAGTAGTCAGTAAAAGCTAAAGTTTTTTTTATTAAGTAAATAACAAAGTTGGATATATCAGTTTTATACAATTATAAAATCTACAAGGAATATCTGCAAAGGTCAAGAACTTACAAAAGCTACAAAGTTAGTTTACTTCTTATCTTTATTTTCTTTAAGAATTTTATAAAAAGTAAGTGATTCAGTTTACCCTCTTCTAAAGATCAATATGTAAAACTTCAAAAACAGTCAGCAGTATTTATTTCCTAAATAAATATGTTGATAATATAGTTTAAAAACAATATAGTAATACAAATATAACTGACTATATACATACTTTGAAGATACTAGTACTCCAAAAATACTGCTTTTAAACTAATCAGTAACCTATACTAATTCTCTACAATCAAGTCAAATTTTTTCTTTTCTATATAGTTTTTTGTTAAATATTTTTTTTTTCCTTTTCAGCAAGCCATGCCTTATCATTTATTCAATGTAATTATAAAACTACAAGGGTTACAAATGCCTAACTTAACAACCAAAGAAGGCAGTACACATCAACGTGTGAATATCAATGGTAAGACTTGACCAGTTACCCCAAAGGTACCTATTCGCAATCTACTATAACGTAGTTTTAATTCAACCTAGAGTCTAGACTAGTTTATCTCTTCCTTATCAGTATTACTATATAAGACTACCTAGCTCGTTATGACTTCTCGCTCATATAGTTAAATATTACTAAACTAATAATACCCTTCCATATAGTGAAAAGGAAAAATAAAAATACTATATATAAAGAACTATATTACCTTATGGCATATACTATATATATAAGATAATAAACATGTAAAGAAAAACAAAAACAAAAAAAACAAGAAAAGAAAAGAAAAGAAAATATTGCTTAAGTACTATCTCCATAGTGCTTGAGTCTTTTATAAAAATTATATAAAGTACTAATACTACAAAATACTTTATATCTCTAAATTATTAATCTCTGTTCTGCTACTGGGAGATATCTAAATTCGTTACTAACAATGCTTGCCTAATCATGTGTATTATTGTTTACTTTTGGGTTGTTTGTAAACACATGGTTTTCACTAATTTCGACATAGCATTGTTGATCCTTTTTCAAGAGTAGGCTAAATTCTCACAAATAAGAAAAAAAGAAAATTCAAAGGACCGAAAGTAATAAGCAGATACAAAAAACTAAGTAGGAGTAAGTGAGTATAAAAGTATTTGTCCCAGTACAAATACTGTAGTATGCTTCTTCTTTCATCTCTAAACTTCAAACTTCTGTAGCTTCTCCTATTTAACTTTAATACTCTGCAAGACAAACTTTTAGCTAAAATATTAGAACTATCTGCTTTAGCTTTCTGTCACTTATTGTCTTAAAGATCTTATGAGGCTATACACCACGCGCTTCTGTTTCAAACTAATATTTTACTGAGTTTCCTTGAGTTTAGTACTTGTTTTGTAAAAAAGTTTTTTGCTCTAGTATTGGTTTAGTGATCAGTGGAAAGAGTTGTATAGTTTGTGTAGTTTTTTGTTAAATATTCTAATTAAATAGAAAAATAGTAGAGTTATTCTTATTTAGTATAGTCTATAATTTTTAAAGTATATAACAAGTTTATAATTATAATTATTTGATATTTGTAAAATACAAATTTTACTTTCTTTTATTATTTTTTTCCTTTTTTATTTCTTGATCTGTATTTTTTATTATTTACCTCTATACTTCTTTTGTTTTTTTTAACTTAATTAAAATTTTTTTTTGTTTTTTGCTTTTCTATAAAAAGATATCATCAGATTAGTGATATCCTATTGTAAAGCAGCAATTAGATGAAGCAGTTTATTTCTAATTAGGATAGTGTAGTAAGTTGTACTTAGACCCTATATAAGAAATGAGTAATACAAACTTAGAAAATTAGAAAAATTTATTGAAAAATTTGTATAGTTTTAAAAAGTCTAAAAAAATATTAGTATGACTGCTAAAAGAAAAAAAAAAGATAGTATACTAGTAGAGTATTAGAAAAACAAAAAAAATATAGAAAAGTAAAAAAATTAAAGAAATATAAAGGCTGTCTAAGCAATAAAAAAAGAGCATATGAGAAATATAGAGCTTGGTAACTGAAAAGAAAAGTTCTAAGAGTAATTCTAAAAAACTGTATAAACAAAAAGACAGAAATGATATACTTCTTACTAAAACAATAGCTATAAGTAAAGATAATTTTTAAAATTTTAAAAAAAATAAGTAAGTTTTTGCAAGTTTAAGATTAGTTGAAGAATATGAGCTTGAAATAATAGAAGTATAAAATTTTAACAAAGAGCTAACAATAATACTAAAAAGAAAGCATAAAAAATAAAGTTAAAAAAAAGAAAAGAAATAGAGTTTTATATAAATAGATTTTTAGATAAGAGAAAAACTAAAAAAATTATAAAAGTTAAATATGAAAAAAAAGACAAAATAAATAATAGTATAGTTAGTATAAAAAACTTTAAAGTTACTAACTAACTAATATTAACTAAATCAGAGTTATTAAAAATTTGAATAGCATTATTATTAGTATAATATAATACAATAATTAGAGTTCTTACAGATAGTAAACAAGTAATAAAAAGTATAATAAAAGCTTGTAATATTAAACAATATAACAAATAGATTAGAATAGATAACAGAATAATCTTAAAGAAAATTGTAATACTTATTAAGCAGAAAAGTATAAAGCTAGAGCTTGAAAAAATCTAAAATTATGCTAACAATAAATAGAATAATGAAGCTAACTAACTAGCAAAAAAAAAAAAGTAGTTATATATAGTCTTTAACTTAGATATAGTTAAAAGTAATAACTTTATTTATAATATAGTATTGCAATCAAATAAAATTAAAAACTAGATCTAGTAATTTTAGTGTAGTGGTTAGGTTACCAGACTATCATACAAGAGGTCTAGAGTTTAAATCCCACTGTCAACAAATTTGAATAATTACTCAGATCTTTGTACTCAACTTATAGTAAATTCTGCTTATTTCTGGAATTACAACCTTGTAAATTATATTGCATTAATATCAATCAGATATTAGAAGTATGACACAATATTTGAGTTATATTACATGAATAAATCTTGATAAGATCTATGAGCAGGAGACCTGTATAGTAGAAATTCTGAGTTTAATGAAATAATATGGATTTTGATAGTCAATCTGGTTAACATTTGATCTGGTAGTGAACTTTGTATACATATATTGTAGATCAAACAGGTATATGTAAGTCTATTATAATGGTACTAGATAGCTAGCAGTACGTAATTCCTGATCAGCAATACCAACTTGGCTTGGTAGCTAACTAAATTTAGAAGGATCTGCTTTGTAAAATATCTTAGAAATCTCGAAGAACTAAAACCAGTAGAGAGCTACAGAAGAAACTAGGTTCGTATGAATATTAATAAGGATAACTATAAGTTTCTAATTGAGTAAGTACTACAATGCAAAGAATAGATCAAAATTTGGAGTACGCTTGTAAAAATTCAAAATAGCATGATACACTAGGCTAGTAGTAGAAACACAAAAAATAAAGGTATACTAGTTCTTGAAATACTAATTATATGGTAGTAGTACTATAGTATTATGAAATCTATGACTAGAAGCAATTCATATTGCGAAATATATCCTGAACCTTATCAACATACAGAAGTACCTATAAACAGAAATTAATGCATATACAACTTATACTTGACACTACATTTGGGAAAGGTCCATATAGTAAAATATATCTATAAGCTAACCTCCAAACTCCACCAAATTGGAAGTAACTGTGAAGTTATGAACACTTCAAGCTTAGCAGTAACCAATTTGAGAGTTACCTATAAGAAGTATAGAGAGATACAGAGAATACAGTATAGTATTTGAAAAAAAGGGTACTTATAGAAATCTAGGTAATACATAGATGTAGACTATGGATTGCTCTAGTAGATCTAGTACGAGAATAGGTAGTATGTATGCATATTACAAGTCCTAAGCTTAATTTAGAATATAGACTAGTTTGAAATTATAATGTAATAATTGTAATAGATAATGTGATTCTTAATAAATAAATTAAACCAAGTATGCACTTTAACATCAAAAAAAAAAAAATTAAATTAAAAACTTAGTTAAATATTTTGTAATAAAGCTAATAAAAAAATATAATAATACAGAGTGAACTTTCTAAAAAAAAGATAATTAGTCAAAATCTCAAAATATAATTAAAAAAAACTATAGCAATAGTTTAAAAAATAGAGAAGAATAAACTATTTATCAATAAAAGATAACAAAAACCTAATTATACAGATCAAATACCTATTAAATAGCTTACTAATACTTAGTAAATCAAATAAGTATAAGCTAAAACTCTACCTAAATAATTATTATATTCTGTATAAAGAAGAAATTCTAAAAAATTTTAACTATTTAATAAAATATATGTTCTGCAAAATTCATGAAATAAAATTAATAGGTCTGGTGACCTAGTATAGTAGTTAGGTTGTCAGACCGCTATGCAATAAGTCTGGGGTTCAAATCCCTCTGTCGATGAATTTGAATAATTTCTCAAATCTTGTGAAATGTTACAGTAAACCCTGTTTGTTTCTGGGAGTATACCTCTGTAAATTAAGTTATACCAAATCGATCAGAACTTGGAAGTGTAGCATAATGTTATATGAATAAATCTTGATAGAATATATAGGCAGAGGACCTGCATAGTAGAAATTCCAAGTCAATGAAGTAGTATAGCCTTCTGACAGGACTACATCAGCTAAAGTTTGATTCAGGAAGAAAACTCATTTTAATAAAGGTAGAAGGTTTCGAGATCTCTAGGTGAAGGGTAACTAAGACCAGCTAGATACTAGAAAAGGACTAGGTCAACTAACCAGTGGAGGATCACAGTAGAACCTAGGGTTGTACGAATATCTACAAGGGTCTAAGCTAGGTGAATTCGTAAAATGAGTATAGACCGCTCTAGTAGGTTTGTTTTGAGGTTAACTGGCTCTGCAGTACTAGCAATATATCTGGTATAATGTATTTCAAGAAGACTTAAGCTATTTGGATAAATGGATCTATAACAAGCTAGCTAGCTTAAACAGTTAGATGTTGCAGTAACATTAGGTTAGATCTGTATGAGTTAATGAACAAAGTGTTTAAATAGGTAACTCACAGGTGGGTTACAGGTATGGTAGCATAGTGTAGAACTAATCGAGTAGCCTAATGCCTATATGACAGACTACTTAAAATAGACAATGACTAAAGTTATATGTGTAGCTTGTTGTACACTCTTCATGTAATTACAAACAGTAGAGATTATCAATGTATAATCTTGTTGACAATTCTAATAAAATTCTTTCGGCAATATAAGCTACCTTAACAACAAAAAAAAAAAATTGAAATAAAATCAAAAAGTAGTATTAGAAAGTATTAGCAAGCTTTAAACTAAAGAAAGTAACAACTTGTTTTTTCAGCTAAAAATTATAGAAATTATTTTTTTAAAAGACAAAGAGAGCAGATACTAAAGAAGAAAAAGCTAATTATTAGACTTAAAAAAAAAGAAAATAGTTAAGGATCTATAGATATTAGCTTAGAAAAAAAATATAATAAAAACTTAAATAGATAGTATTTTCTTTATTACTCAAAGAAGTTTTGCAGAGATTATATAGAATTAGTGATATAAAAAAATAATTCTATAAGAAAAAAAAAAGAAATAATAACTAAACTTAAAAGAAAAAAAATAGAAAAAAAAAAATGAAGATGAGAATTCTAACAAATAAAAAAAAAAATATTAATTATGAAAAAGAGAGAAAGAAAAAAATTAAATAGTATTAGTAGTAGAAGAAGTAGTTAAAAAGAGAATAAAAAAAGAAAAAAGAATATAGTAGAGTTTTTTTTGAACTAGTTAAACAAAATTGTTTTAGCTATAGAGCTAGTGTAATAGATTATATTTAAGTACTCTAATAATAACTAGGTGATATCAAGCTTAGAAAATTAAGTAAATTATATAATTATATATAACTTAACTATAGCTATAGTTAATAACTTAATAAAGTTTATAACATAACTATCAAAGAAAAAAAAAGAAATTTGTATTAGCAATATATTATAAATCTAAACAATATATATAAAATAAAAATAAAAATATTCTTCAAAAAAATATAGTTCAAAAAAAAGCTTAAAGAACTTAGTAGAAAATTATATATATGAAGATATAGCAAGTAAGAAAAAAAAAATTTAGAAGAAATAAATATAGTAGTAGAATAGTATTATAAAACTATTCAAAGTAAGCATAAATATATTGTTATAAAATAGATTTTAACATAATTTATATTATATTTTTATTAGTTATATTTATTAGTATTTTAGTATTATTTCTTATATTTATATTATTTTAGTATAGATATTTTATAGATAGAAATTCGTAGAAAATATTCACCTCTAAGGGAAGTCCTTCAAGAAGTGTTTAGATCGAAAAATAGTTCTAAGTAACTTTCTAAATAAGAACTATAGCTACACAATAATATAAGTTTTATCTAAAGTTATTATATATAATCAGAGAAAACTCAAGTAACAGCCAATATAATATGATAATTACTGTGCTAAAAGCTGTGTTACTTACTGTGCTAATTTATTTATAGTGATGCTTAAGTGACACTTAAGTGACACTTGCACAAATGTCTAGATGATGCCTAGATGACTTTTTGATGACCCTTTGGTGACCCTTCTACAAAGCTTTACTAAAAGATATAAATACAAGTAGTTTTTTCTTCAAGTTTAATATTCATTTATTCAATTCAGTTTAGATTCTTCCAAATCCTCTTCTCTAATAATAGAAGAGTCCAATTCACTTCTTTATAGTTATAGAGTATAACTACTTATGTATCTTACTCTAAACATATCTATCTTTAATAAAATATATTGATTATAAATGATTATAATGAACTGCCTCTTTAGAAATAAGGATAGTTCTTTAATATTACAAGAATTATATCTTTTTCTTTGACACTGCTTCTTAAAGTCTCTAGATAGTTATGTCTCTGTTATAGTTAGTATATAAGAAGGCTTAAATTACACTACTTATAACAATATAATAAGTAATTTGCTAGAAAAAAATCTTTTAAATAAGTAATTATAAATAGAATCATAAAAAAAAATAAAAATAATACAGATATAATACTGCTAAACTACAACTCTTTCTACTGATCACCAAAACCAATACCAGAGCAAAAAACTTTTTTACAAAATAAGCACTAAACTCAAGGAAACCTAGTAAAATATTCATTCAAAACAGAAACATGTAGTGTATAGTCCTATAAGACCTTTAAAGCAATAAGTAGCAGAAAGCTAAAGCAGACAGTTCTAATATTTTAGTCAAAAGTTTGTCTTGCAGAGTATTAAAGTTAAATAGGAGAAGTTACAGAAGTTTGAAGTTGAGAGATAAAAGAAGAAACACATTATAGCATTTGTACTAGAACAAATACTTTTACACTTACTTACTCTTACTTGGTTTTTTGCATTCACATATCACCCTCAGTCTTTTGAATTTTTATTTTTTCTCGATTATGGGAATTCAGCCTACTCTCAAAAAAGAATCAATAATGCTACATCCAAATTAGTAAAAGCTACATATTTACAAACAATCTAATAGTAAACAATGATACATGTGATTAGGCAAGTATAGTTAGTAATGAATTGAGACACCTTCTGGTAGCAGAATAAAAATCAATAATTTAGAGATATAAAGTATGTTGTAGTATCAGTATTTTATACAATTTTTACAAAAGTCTTGAACACTATGGAGATAGTACTTGAGCAACATTTTCTTTTCTTTTTTTTTCTCTTTGTTTTTGTTTTCTTTTACATATTTATCATCTTATATATATAGTATATACTATAGGGTAATACAGTTCTTTATATATAGTATTTTTATTTTTTCTTTTCACTATATGAAAAGGTATTATCAGTTTGGTAATATTTAACTGTATAGGCAAGAAGTCATGACAAGCCAGGTAGACTCATATAGTGATACCAATAGGAATAGGATAAATTAGTTTAGACTCTAGATTGAATTAAATCTACTTTATAGCAGGTCACGAATAGGTACTAGTAGAGTAACTGGTTGAGTCTTACTATTGATGTTTGCATATATATTTGCACTGCCTTCTTTGGTTATTAAGTTAGATATATGAACCCTTGTAGTTTTATAATTACATTGAATAAATAATAAGACATGGCTTGCTGAAAAGGAAAAAAAAAAAATACTGCTAAACCAAAAGAATAAAGTATTAAATAAAATAAGAAACTACTTCAAAAATCAATTTTAGAAAAGAAATATTTAAGTTATAAACATATTAGAAAAATAGAAAAAAATATATAATCTCTTAGAAAGAGTAAATAACAAAATTTATAATAGTTTTAAAAATGAGATCTTAGAAAAAAAATAAATAAAAATACTGAAAAAAACAAAATCCAAGTTAACTTCAGATCTATCTAATATAAGCTACTTTCTAATTAAAAAAAAGAATTAGTAACACAATACTTCTTTAAATATTTAGCTAATATATATATTCAAAAAAATAAAATTTTATTTAAATAAAAGTTTAGTCAATTATATCTAATATTCAAAGAAGAAAACTAGAATTTTGATCTATCTAATATATAATAGTTTTAATTTACAAATTCTAACACATAGATTAGACAACATATTAACAAAACACAATATATTAGAAGAACTAAACTTTACAGATCTAATAGATAATAATATAGCTAGTCTAATTCATATTATAACAATATTCTCGAAGATGCAAAGTAGAAAAACAATAAGATATAGATTCTCTTTCAAGATATATATAAAGTATTTGACTCTGTAAACTTAGAAATGCTAAAAAAAATTATTAAAAAGAATCAAACTACTAATATATACAATTAGTTTTATTCTGAACTTATTCAAAAAGAGAAGAATTAATGATACGGAAATCGATTCACTTTTTACTTTTTCTATGATCAACTTGAAAAAATGGTTATACGAAAGATATACAAGTCTTTTTAAGTATTTGTTTGATACATGAATTTTAAAATTTGGATCTAACTCTTGTTATGAATTTTCAAAAAGCTGGATTTTGAAGAACGATGATCCAATCCGCAAGGTATTGACAAAGTTGTGACTCATTATGGAATGAGTTAACTGTAGAGATGTACCTTGCGCAAGATGACGATATTCTCACACCCGCAAGGCGACATCAATTTAATCAACTAAAGAAAATTTATCACATGACCTGCATAAATCGCGCGATGTAACCTTTCGTGTAGTGTATGAATATATGCTAGAAAGACGAATGAACCTTTAAACATTATCTGAAATCCGCCGAAGCCGGCTAACCCTAATGGAATGTTTAGGATAGTTGTTTGTTATCGTTATGGATATAGAATTGGTGCGAACTTAATATTGATATTTTAGTTAATGGATTAGAAAGATACTGTAATAGTAATTCGCGGTTAATAACTGTCAACGATTGAAAATCCGAAAATGGTGTATGTTCATATTGTAGCGAATATAACACGAATATTGCGTGGTGTTGTGCTTGTGATTCAGATATTACATAAAAACAAATTACTGTAGTATAATGGTTCATATTTTATATAAAAAAATCATAAGATGCTTACAGTATAAATAAATTTGCTTTTAATTAGCAAAACCAAATATATTTCCTCTCATTTTTTTAACTTTTTTCCCTTTGGCACTTGATAGACAACGAAAACAACGAACGCTTGAAGGGTGATTTTTACATGGTTCTTTAGGTTTATTTTCATCCTCTTCATCCTCTTCATCCTTTTTATCTTCCTGCGATAGTTTGTTATTGGAAGGTTTAGAATCATTTTTTTCTTGAGATTTATTACCACTTTTTGTAGCACCTTCGGCACGTGTAAACTCACTAGAGCCAGATAAACCAGATGAATTGCTATCATCCTTCTGGCCTTGTATCCTATGCTTCTCAATAGTTTTAATAAAATCATTAATATCTGTAGTAGAATTATTTGATGATTTTGAATTAGAATCTGATGTAGGCGTAGTGTTAGATAATGCGGTACGTAATGCTGAGGCCAAACGTGGATTTTCATGGATTGTGTTTGCCAAAACTTGCTCAAATACAGTAGGTTTTTGGAGATTTCCGGCTCTATCAGCGTTATTCAAGGTTGAAGTTTTCATTTTTCTATCACTTGAAAATAAGGAAGCTTTTGTGTTGTCTCCAGAAGTGATGGATGAAATGAATTCATTTTCTGTACTGTTACTAGAGATGATGGGTGAATAAAAATTATTTTCTTTGCTGTTATCAGAAGTGGCGGATGAAGAAAATTTATTTTCGTTGTTATCAGAAGTGATAGGTGAATGAATTTTATTTTTTGTGTTATCAAAAGTGGTGGGCGAAAAAAATTCTGTGCTGTTACCAAAAGTGGTGCTAGAAAGATTTATTTCGTCTGCGCTGTTACTAATAATATAATCACTATTCTCTTCGATTAAACTCTCTGCCTGAAACATAGAGTTACTATTACAAAGGTCAATAAAAATATCTCTCTGTGCATCCTGTTTAGAAATTTGACTCGTGTTAAATGAAGAGTTTAAGTCATTTGTAACATAGTGAGAATTATCGGTGTAGTTGTTATTGCTTTGATAAATGCCACCATTTTGGAATGAATTGCTAGTAAGAGAAGAGTAGTAGTCAGTACTTTGGCCATGCTCATCGGTTAAGATAATAACATCACTTGCAGGAGGTTCGGGAGGTTGATATGTGTAAAGATTGTTGCAATTGTCCTGGTCATTTCCATAAATATCATTATTTTGAGATTCCAGTTCAGAATCCTGATTAAAACTTAGTGAGTGACTTTCCTCATTAGCAAAAGAAGAGGGATTTCCATTGATCGAGATAAAGTAATTTGTAGAACAAAATGAATCTTCACTGTTATCCGTATTGTTATTTCCATGTTCGCTGTCATCTCCATGTTCGCTGTCGTCTCCATGTTTACTGCCATTATTATTGTCATCTCTATGTTTACTTCCATGTTCACTGCCATTCATATTGTCATCTCTATGTTTACTTCCACTCGTATCTTCATTTCCATGTTCACTGCCATTCGCATTGTCATCTCTATTCATGTTACCATCGTTATTTCTATTATCACCATAATTTGTATTGGTACCACAACTCTTATTTTCTCCCTTGCTATCATTATCACCCTTGTTATCACCTTTACTATCACCCTTGTTACCCCCCTCGTTATCTCCTTTGCTATCTCCCCTGCTATCACTTTTGTCATCACCTTTACTATCACCCTTGTTATCCCCCTCGTTATCTCCTTTGCTATCTCCCCTGCTATCACTTTTGTCATCACTCTTGTTACTGTCATCGCCCTTGCCATCACCCTTGTTACCACCATCGCCCTTGTCATCTCCCTTGCCATCACCCTTGTTACCACCATCGCCCTTGTCACCGCCCTTGCCATCACCCTTGTCACCGTCATCACCACTTTCTCCACTTGAACTTCCTCCGAATGGTGATCCAAAATTAAAGGAAGGTCCGAAAACAAGCTGTAGACGTGTGCCGACACTTACGTCACCAACAGATTTCTGTCCACTAAAGCCAATATCAATACCAGCAGATGGTTCGCTTATGACTACATTTCCACGACTTACACCGCCCCCGATAGCTTTGAGTTTAATACCAGATTCGCCTTTATTTATAACTATGTTGTTTTCTTGGTTACTGATCAAAGTACAATCCGCACCAAATTTTGTTTTGTTATCCTTGTTCATATTAATATCGACATTTCTTTTTTGAACATCGATTCCAGTAAAATTTGCATTAAAGTCCACTTTGAGATTTCTTCCCTGATTTTCTTTTTCGATTTTAGCGTTAGTACCAGGATCATGACTTTTGTTGTTCTCATGATATTTGATAGCTGTTGCTTTTAAACGTGCAGAAATAACTGTATTTCCTTCGCCAATCACTTTACTTTTAGCGCTTGCATTAGCTCCCGTGATAGAAAGATTGTCACGTTTTATGTCAACCCCGGTCGCATTTGCACGTGCGAAAATAACTTTATTATTATTGCCAATCACATTCTCTTGAGAGCTTGCATTGGCTTCCGTAATAGAAACATTGTTACGTTCTATGTTAATTCCGGTTACTTTTGCACTTGCGGAAATAACTTGATTTCTATTGCCAATCACAGTATCTTTAGAGCTTGCACTAGCTCCCGTAATACTTTTATTGTTACGTTCTATGTTAATCCCAGTAAAACTTGCTTCAAGAGTATTTGCCCTGTTGAAATTTCCAACCACATTTTTGCGAGCGCTCAAATCAGCGCCTGTAACATTTAGTTCTCCTTCTCTGCAGTTGATTAAACCCATATTTATACGTTTACTATCTTTCTTGTTATTGAAACCGATAACATTATCATGAGCAACCCCATTGATTCCAGTGGCTTGGATACTTTTATATGAGAGATTAGCAATACTTTTATTTTTGTCATTAATTTTCACATCGTTATTTTCCCCGATAACATTTCTACTTTGATCAAAGCCAAAAGCCGTCATTTCAACGTTATGTATCGGTTTATTAACTATACTAAAATTATCGTGGCTAATATTCTCTTTTTTCTTGCTTCCTACTACATTTCCGCAGCTAGTAATATTAGCCAACTGAGCTTTAAATTCGCTTAGTCCTAATGAAATAGATTTTTTGCCTATTGTTTTATGATTACAACCTCCATCCGCAAGGTTTTTAAGACCATCCTTTTCACCATTGCAAGCGGAAAATGTCGGTATATCAAAACTATCATCGTCGTCTTTATCATCCTCATCTTTGTTGTCCTTGTCCTTATTGTCCTTGTTGTCCTTATTGTCCTTGTTGTCCTTATTGTCCTTGTTGTCCTTATTGTCCTTATTATCGTTATTAGAGCCATTAGAATCACTTGGACCAGTAGGACCACTAGGATCAGTTGCAATACTTTCAAGTGCGGCCTTTAATTCATCTACTTGCTTTTCAGCCTTTGATACTTCTTTGGCATGAATAGCTTCATCACCACGATAGATAATTCCGTTTCGGATGTATATATTTTTTTTCTTAGGCTTCATTTTATTCCGATTTTGATAATGAGGATGGGATGTCTGAAGCTCACAAAAATAGTGGGTATTTAAGCTTACATAATTACGCGTTAGGAATAACAATGAACTCTATAAAAATATCGATATGCTTAATTTGATCCGATCATATACAAACAAGTATTCATTAAAGACGTCAGTATTAAATAGGAAATTCCAAATTTCTCACACTACGTATCCCTTAGTAAAGTCTTATTTTAAATGAAGATAGCTTCATCTATCATCAATATAAATTTCTTGTTGAAAAATGTCACAATTAACGATTAATTTTGGCTGGCTATTTAAGCTGGATACAATTTAATTAATGTTATTAATACAAGCTGGGTTCGTGCAAAGGAGAAATTGGTCATGGCATCGGAACGAGTCGCGGCAACAGGTAACTTTTACATTATTCACACGCCCTTCCTTTATCGTTATGACAACCTTTGATTGTTCCAAGAATGTGACATTGACATATGCCATTGCGTTTGTTTACATTCGACTTCCCACGCTATTTCCCTTTTCGTTCACGTAGTGTGCCATCACTTCTCACGAAATTTTTTAGAGTGCATGCTTTGGTTTTATCTAGCAATAGTGGTTTTTATCTTCTAAACAACAATTATCGTAGTAACCACACCACCATGTCCTATTTTTTTATCTTATAAATTTAAAATCTGTTTTTTTTTTTTTTTCATTCGTTGTATCAAATTCATATACTGTTATCTATATACAGAAAGTATCTGGCATAGTTTCTACCTATATTTCAGTATTTTGACATGCGGCCTTTGCCTGAAGTCAAATTTTATACTAAAACTAATAGCCGATACCTCAAGCTAAAAATTAATGCCAAAAGGTGCTGCAAGTCTCAAATTTAACGTTAATTACATCTTTATTTTTATTAAATTTGTATAAAAGTATAATTCATTGTATGTACGTATCAATTGAGTGCTGCAAAGCAAAAACCTGTAAATAAATATTTAAGTTATCACTGCGGCGGACTTATTCATATTATAATATAATATGAAATGTGATTTACTTAAAGGTTTTTGTTCTGCAGCACCCAATCAAATAAATTTTATAAGAGATATTTTAAATTAAAATTAGACAACAAACTATGATTTCATCTCGGATTTAATTAATAATGCTTCTACTATATGTAATTAGCGCTAAGAATACGTACCGTAGCTTAACGTTACTGGCTAAGAATTTATTAATTGATTAATAAATTTTCTATACTAGGAAATTTTGGATTACACAAGTAAAAACAGTTGTAAAAAAATACTCATTGTACGTATCTCTTAGCGCTATTTATATTTGCAGTGATTAGCTTTGCGAGATGAGAAGAGATATGCTACTAGCCGCTCAAAAATTTTCGCTAGCCATACAGTAAGTCTTTTTATAATAAAAGATTCAATTTGTGTTACATACAGACTTATCCATTTAACGTGAAGTTTTTCTCATCAATATCCAAATACTTATTTAAATTAGTTTAGTATAACTATACGTAAAATAATATGTATTAACGATATGTGTTACAGAAAAAAAAAGAAAATCGAAAACGCTTTTCTCATCAAAATAAAATGTCCAAATACTTATACAAATTTAGTTTAGCATAAGTTTTAAAATAATATGAATCATTAAAATTTATATTAACTGTTAACGAACAGATAAAAATTTTTGTTAATTCAAACGGATGTAACCTAAAATAGCATAAACGACATCCAACATTTTTCGTATCAAACAACAATTTAAATCAATTACAAATTACAAGTTAATCGAGGTGATGATATATTTTTTATCGGTTTCTATGGCACTTACTGTTCTGAATTACATTAGTATGTATAACTTGGACTGTTACTAAGTTTGTAAATATGTGATCTTTGCCAGATATTGTATTTTCAATTTTTCAAAGAATTTCACAAAACAAAAGACCCGATTTAAGACAATTACTAATTATGTACTAATCAAAGATACGGTATATTTTTTGTCGGATTTTGCGGCACTTACCTTTCTGAATTGATTAGCTTTTACTATGTTTAGTAAATTTACAACCTTTACCAGATATCGCATTAGTATAACTTTGAATAAGTTGGTAAATGTCATCAAATATTAGTAATAAAAAAAGGACAGGACTAGAAAGTGCACCGTGCACTTTGTGCACTTTCTATAGTAACTCAAAATTTTACTAGGGTAACCTCTGTTGTGTAACTAAACAAAAATATTCTTATCATAATTTTACTCTAACCCTAACCCTAATTCTACTCATAGCTTAATCCTAAGCCTATTTTTAAACTTTTTATAATAACTCAAAATTTTACTAAGGTAACCTCTGTTATGTAACTAAGAAAAAATATTCTTCTCACAATTTTACTATATGAAAATCCTAACTCTAACTCTAATTCTAACCTAAACTAACATAATTTCTATTTTATACTTAATTTTACTATAAAGTACAAAAAATATATGCGTGTACTATTTAGATTTTTCTATAAAAAAATAATAAAATATTATTTAATTATTATTAATTAATTAATAGAGCATAATATATCTTTCTCAGATCCTGCACTGCTTTTCTTCTATACAATACCCTTCTACCTTTCTATCTTATAATAAAATAAAATAAAAAATATTAATATCCATATATCTTACTGATATAAATATACTAACAAATCTATATAAATATAATAATATCTGTTTGTATAACTTAATAACTAATTAACATCATCTAATTTTATTGAACTGATAAACTCTTGAACTATAAACTCTCAGCTTTTTTTAAAAACTTGTTAAGATATTAATTTTTTTTCAAATTTCAATTTGTCTTATTTGTATAAAAATTATAATATACTGTATAGTTAAAATTTTATTCTATTTTTTATTTTTTATTGTGATAAAAAACTTATTTTATTAGCTAAATTATTTTCTATTAATTAAAAACTGATTTTTGATCTATCAAAAATAATACTATAGCTTTGTATATTTTATATAATAATCAGATGTAATGTAGATCTATAAAACGTAAAAATTTTTTCAGAAAAAATTTTTTACTTTCATCTTTTTTTCTTTAGTAAGTATATTGTTAGACATGTTGTTATATTTATAAATTGAATATGTTTATTTTTTTTATTCCTATAAGAGATATATATATAATTATATGAAGTTAGAAATATAGTTAATATTCTTTTAAAAATGTAGTTATATATAATTTAGAGTATAAAAGTCTGTATTTATATTATTTATTTTAAAATTATTTGTAATAACTTGTTTATTAGTAGGGATTTGGTTGAAATATTAGTATTTCTAGTATGATTCTACTCAAGAAATGTGTTTGCCCTTATTAAAAAATAGGTTTCACCTTGATATACACTTTTAATAAAAAAACTTTTTTTAAAAATTAGAATAGACTTTGTATTTTATTTTATAAAATAGTTTTTTTTCTTTTCCTATTAATTATTATTTTCAGAGTTACCTTTAGTACTAATGTCTTTGTTATATAGTCTGAGCAATATTTTATTATTTAATAGTAGCTAATAGATACTATTTTATATATATTATCTTTAGTTTATTTTAATTTTTTTTTAAATAAATATATTTTTAAGATATTAAATATTTGTAATAAAATATTATATTAAATAAAATGGTTTATAATTTTAATTAACAAATAAATATTATACATTATGTAAATTGTATTAAAAAAAATATACTATATATATATATATTTTTTTGTTATTAAGACAGCTTACATTGCTAAAAGAATTTTATTAGAATTGCATACAGGATATATATTAATAGTCTCTACTGTTTGTAATTACATAAAGAGTGTACAACAAGCTACATGTACAACTTTAGTCATTGTCTAATTTAAGTAGTCCACTATATAGATGATTAGACTATCTGATTAGTTCTACACTATGCTGCTATACCTGTAACCCACCTGTGAGTTACCTATTTAAACACTCTATTCATTAACCTATACAGATCCAATCTAATGTCACTACAACACCTAACCGCTTAAGCTAGCTAGCTCATTACAGATCTATTTATTCAGAACCACTTAGATCCTCTTGAGATATATTGTACCTAACTATTGTAGGTATTGCAGAGCCAGTTAACCTCGAAGCATACCTACTAGAATAGTCTATACCCATTTTATGAATTCACCTAGCTTAAACCCTTGTAGATATTCATACAACTCCAGTTCCTACTGTAGCTCTCTACCAGTTTTCTATATTCTATAATCTCAGATATTTCACAAGGCAAATTCTCTTAATTCAGTTAGCTACCAAGCTAGGTTAGTGTTACCAATTTTCCTTATGGACTAGATTTATACACACCTGACTCAATCTGTATCTTTTGATGATAGTTTCCTTTCTGAATTAAGCGTTAGCTAGTGTAACTGTTAAAAACTATACTACTTTACTAACTTAGGATTTCTACTATACAGGTCTCCTGCCTGTAGATTCTATTAAAATTTATTCATGTAATATTACATCTCACCAAACGCCTTGTCACACTTCCAATATCTAGATAATATTAGTGCAATGTGATTTACAGGGTTACAACCCCAAAAATGAACAGAGTTTACTATAAGTTAGGTATAAAGGTCTAGGTAATTATTTAAATTCATCGACAGTAAGATTTGAACCTCAGACCTCTTGTATAATGGTCTGGCAACCTAACCATTACACTAAGATCACCAGATCTAAATATACTATATATTAAATACTTATGATAACTAATTCTTATTAGTAATTATATTTTATACTTCTAAGTAAATTTTTAATATATAGTCACAAGATTTTATATATGAAATTTAAAATTTTTTAAGATAATATTTGTAGAGTTATGATAATTTTTTATTTAATCATATTAGTTTTTTGCTCTTTTTGATGAAAACTACTATTATTCATATTTATGATAACAAATTATTATTAGAAATACTTTTAAGTAAACTTTTAGCATATATTACAAAATTTTTCTTATGAAATTTTAGA